AAGTTCTTTATAGATTCGAGATAGTAGACCTTTGTCTGAGGAAGAGCAGGTGAAGAATTTTTTCCCACATTGTGGGTTGCCTCTTCACACTGCTGGTGGTTTCTCTTGCTGTGCAGAATCTTTTTAATAAGAAGAGATCCCACTTGTTGATTGTTTGTGCTAGTTCATGGGCAACTGAGAAATAACTGCTGACATTAAAATGTTCTCTGTTGTATAGTTAGGAGCCCTAAGTGAAACACCACATTGGTTATGATGGACTTGCAGGTAGATTAGCAGGTAGGTAGTCCCAAAATATTCTCAGGTTGGGGTTTTTTTGAAGTTCATCAAAATTCCAAACTTCCCGCCTACATTTAAGGGCATCTTACAGTGGAAACAAGGAATTGGGGGGAATTAAGTCATAAAACCATTTATACATTGTTCAAATCTAATTTAATATTTCAAGATGAACAGTATAATACTTGCTAGCACTAAAATTATGAGGACTTGGAATTGTGCCTTCCCACTTTGAAAGTGAATGTCTTTACCAAGGTTACAAACTCCTGGCAGAGACCACCTTCTCTTAGGGATGACCATTTTCAAGGGCCTTATCCTTGAGCTCAGCACCCAAGGGCTGGCACGATCCACACCTTGTCTTGTAGCTCTTCCTCCACGAAAGCTTCCCTTGGTTCTGTGCCCTTACTAGGATCCCTGAATGGTCCGACTGCTTACACCCCAGGTGCTTTTCACTGATGTGTGCTCCCCATCTCCACCTCCCTTCCCAGGGCAGCATCAACTGAGGAGCCACTTTCTCAAGGCAGCCTACCTTGCTGCCTCTCCTCTGTGAACCTCCGACTACCCTGAAACCAGTGAGCTTTTCTCACACACACTCAGTAGGAATTCATGTCAAGTACACATCAAGACTTCCTTCGAGTTGCTTGTGCTTCTAGAACAGGCTTGGTGCACTGTGCACTCTCAATGCAGGGGTATTCCCTGTCTTCTCAGGTGCTGTGCTCGGAGGTGGAAAGTCAGATAAAAATGCAAGTAAGGAGCATCAGCAGGAGCCCCACAGAAAAATGTTTCTGGATGGTTATAGTGGTCAATATAGACCAAAGCTCTGTCTTCTTGGAAGATTTGAAACAACGCTGAAAGATCTGAGAGGAAGCAAGGCAGGGGAGGGGCATTCAAGGGTTGGGGAGATTGCAGGTGGGTGAGCATAAGCATTGTGGAAGATGGGCTTACTCTAAAAAGAAGCAGTGGAAGTTTTTGTAACTGTGGAAGGGCCCTGGGCACCTAGGGATGAGGCTAGATGTCACCTTGTAGAGTAGCGGTTTCATCTTTAGGACAAAATAAAATCCATGTTAGGTGGTTGGTCTGGCTATAGTATAGGAGAAATAAGAGTTCAGACAATGGTTAACAGAATTATATTTCAAGGGAGGGGCAAGGAGGTGTAGGGCTAAGGTGGGTCTAGAGAGGAAGGTATGGATGCAACTCAAGGGAAGATTGGACAAGGCTTGAGGATGGAAACAGGAGGGAAATGTACAGGGTAGTGTCCATTTATTTAAGTCAAGCTTCCAAAGAGACTACTATAGGGGTTCATGGAGCCCTATGAAAAGCTAAATGGCCTGGGTTTGAGCCTTATTACAAAAAAATAAACAAAGCCCTCAAATAGGAAGCTAATGACTCTCTTCAAAATATGCATATTCATGGATAAAATTTTGTTTATCATATCCAAGGGACTCAGAGCCTATCATGCAGAGTTTTTGGTCGTCAAATTAATGAGCTATGGCTTTTATTTACCTAATTTGTATTCTCCTTACTGATAAATCCAAAGTGTTTAGGAATGGAAAAATTACTAATCTGAAGATTTGAAGGTAACATAAAGAATCAGAAATAGTCTAATTAAAAGAAACCAGGTTTTTTTCCAGGGATGTGTGAGCAATTAAATAGTTATGTAAAATTAGTAATGGAAAACTTGAGACAAAAACAGCTGCTTTGAGGTTTTAATACAATGTTTTGTTACAATCTGGAATGACTGGATATGATGACCTTTAATATAGTGACCCTTTCACAGTAACTTCTATGGAGCTTCACACCATTAATAGATACCAGTTTGCATTTCTTTTGTGCATTACTTTAATGATATCCAGCAAACTGCCATATTTACCATACTTTAGTTTTCCTTCATGGGAATTGAGGAGTGTTTTTTTTGTTTTTTGTTTTTTTCACTAACTATATCCCAAGCCTTCTTTTTCTTTTGATTTTGGGATAGGGTCTCGAAAATTGTCCAGGCTGGACTCAAACTTGAAGTCCTCTGGCTCAGCTCCCCAAGGTGCTGGGATTATGGGCATAAACCACACCTGGCTTGCTACTGTTTTTTTTAGTAAAAATATCATAAATCATCTGTCAAATGTGACTCAAACTAGTTGTTCCCAAGCAAGTTTATCAAATACACATTTCACAATATGGAGATTATCAATTACCTTTGTAATAAAGTGAGATTATCATGTGTATGAGCATAATGATGGCTTACAGTTAACTGAGAAATATGATTATTCAAATTTACTGCAATAAATACTCTATAACAGTGATGGTGAACCTTTTAGAGATGAGTGCCCAAACTGCAACCCTAAACCCACTTATTCATCGTAAAGTGCCAATGCTGCAATTAAATCTGAATACTGAGGCTTAGGTTTAAAAAAACAACTCACACATTAACATCTTTTGTCTTAAAAGAAAAACAACA